TGAACTTGAGTCATTTTCTGAGAGATTTTGTAGTGCATTTGAGAGAAATTTTTATCAAAATTTTTTCATTATCAGTGAAGGGAAAAGAAGATAGAAGATCTCATACTTCTTAAGAATTTGTGGTGGAGAAACAGCTTGCTAAAGGCTTGTGTGCACTGTTTCATTTCATTGGGACTTCTTTTGGTTAATTTATTCCTTTCCAGATATTTTTGGGTAAAAATTTAACCTTATCTGCTGTCACAGGACGGTTTATAACATGTAGCACTGTGTTTCAGTGATGCTAATTTTCTTACTGCCTCATTCAATCTCTCTAGGTAAGGCAGTTTATCTCAAATTATACTGAGTTTCTCTTCTATCAGTATAAGGACTGTGTTTTGAGAAACTAGATAAAATTTTTCTCTCTGTTCCAAAGGAATGGTTTAAGTCTTGTTAGGTTGGAAATAGGGCCCTCCTTTTAACACTGTCGTTCTCAGGCTTAGCAGGCTAGGTCCTTCAGACTTTCTTCAGGCTCTGTTGTTTCCATGTTTCCTTAGTACACAGGGGCTGGGTTTGAATTCTGGATTTTTTTTTCCGACAGAAACATTGTCCAAGAAACCAGAATTCAATTTGTATTTGAGCTAACAATTGATGGAGCTCCTTTCTAATCCACCTGTGAAGAGAATACCTAGACACAGGGATTCTGAATCTCTTTAAAAATCAGAGGAGCCTGTAGAATTTACATAGTAGGAGATGAATCCACATAGTTCATCTAAAACTCAAGTAAATGCATTCTGTTTTGTATAATAGACATATTCAGTTCTACTTGCTTTGTGGTTGAAGGTTAAAAGTCTAAGAACTTTACATTTACTATTAAATGAATATCCTAGTAAGTATCACAGGATGTCTCAGGAAGCCTCTTATTCTTCTCTCAGCCAATTGATAACAATAGAAATCAACCGCTAATACACACATATATTATGTGTATATATAACAGGCTTCCCTGGTAGCTCAGATGGTAAGGAATCTGCCTGCAGTGCAGGAGACCTAGGTTCAGTCCCTGGGTCGGGAAGATCCACTGAAGAAAGGAATGACTACCCACTCCAGTATTCTTGCCCAGTTCCATGGATGGAGGAGCCATGGACTGGCAGGCTACAGTCCATAGGGTCACAAAGAGTTGGACATGACTGAGTGACTTTCACTTTCATACATATAAATGTGTATATTTGTACTTAGGTACTATTCTGAGCCTTGTATATTTCTAATTAATCCTCACAACAACTCTATGAGAAATGTACTATTATTATTCTTATTTCAGGTGAGAAAATTTAGGCACAGAAGTTTAATAATTTGCTGAGGCAACATTGCAGCAAAGGCAGGATGAACCCGTACTATCTGGATCCATATTTTGTGTTCTCAACTATTAAATAAGACTGCCTCTCAGCAGAGCTTGTATGAGTTTAAATTGTTTTAAAGCCTGTTCTTGACTATCTGATGTCTGTTCTTAGTGGTTCTGAGGTTACCCTAGTGTGAGTGTTCTTCAACTTCCTAGCATTTCTTTGTATACTTTATAAAATACCATTTTGAACTACTAGTTTATTATAAATTTAGCCAAATCTGAACCTAAGGACTTTGGGTTTATAATTTCATGTTATGTTATATTTTAAGCAGGACCTTCCATGTCTAAGCCAGATGTGATTACCTTATTGGATGAAGGGAAGGAGCCCTGGATGGTTGTGAGAGAAGGAACAGGAAGACATCACCCTGGTGAGTGAGGGCTGAGTAGGCATGGGAAAATCATTACTGTAGGTAATAGCCAAGCATGTCAGGGTAGAGAGATTCCCTTGAGAGTTACAGATAGCTCTTCAAAAGCCTGTAGAGGAAAGGCCTAAGACCTAGGAAGCAAATTAAAATCTTTTAAACCTGGGCTAACAAGGGAATTTCTTACTGGCCTTGATTACAACTCTCTATTTCTCACATCATATTTCTCTCCCACTCAGAGAAAAAAGCTGTTCTCAGTAGAAGGAAAACAAATGATAATATAAGAGTTAAAATCAACAGAATAGAAAAAGGAAAGAAGTGGAGAAACTGAACAAAGCTTAGAGTTGATTTCTCAGTAAGATCAACAAAATTAATAAACACCAACTTGACTAATCAAGAAAAAAAAGAGAGACAACATAAATTACTAATACCAGGGAAGAAAGAGAGGTTTTTGCTTAACATGTTATAGCCATTAAAAGAATAAGAGTGCTCACTTCAGCAGCACATACACTCAAATTGGAACAATACAGAGAAGATTAGCATGGCCCCAGCACAGGGATGACATGCAAATTCATGACATGTTCCATATTAAAAAAAGAGCAAATATCATGAATAACTTTATGCCAGTAAATTTGACAACTTACATGGAAAAATTCCTTGAAAAATACAAACTTACCAGATCTGACACGAGTAAAAAGAAAATATGCAAAACCTCATATCTCCTAAAGTAATTAAGTTCATTGTCAGAAGTCTTTCCAGAAAGAAAATGCTAGACCCAGATAGTTTCACTGGTGAATTCTATTAAATATTTAAGAAAGTAATAGTACAGTATTACACGTATTCCTTCAGAAAAAGAACTTCCAATTCATTTTATGAGACTACTATAATTCTTACACTATGTTCATGAAGGATGTAAGTTTGTAATTCCCTCCCCCTCTTGGTAATTTCTGTCCTTCTTGAACATAGATGTAAAATGCTTAACAAGATATCAGAAAATTAAATCCAGCAATATATAGAAATTATGACTAAATAGGGTTTACCCCAGGAGATTATGCTTGGTTTAACATTTAAAAATTAATCAGTGTAATTTACCATATTAACAAAAATGTGAGAAATCATTTGATTATCTCCATGAATGTAAAAATAGCATATGACAAAATTCAATATCCATTCATGATAAAAACTCTCAGGAAACTAGAAATCAAAGGGAGCTTCCTCAGTGTGATAAAGGGCATCTGCTGAAAAAATACTGTGTCATTAACTTTATCATATTTGATTGAAGAGTTCCCTCCTAAGACTGAACAGGACAAGATTGCCCAGTCTCCCTGTACCTACTTAACATTAAATTGAACGTCCAAGCATTGCAATAAGGCAAGAAAAAGAAATAAGAGATATAAAGATCAAAAAGGTAGAAGTAAAACTATTTGGAGATGGTATAATTATATACTTAGAAAATCCTAAGGAATCAAAACCACATCTACTCAAACTAGTTAGTGAAGATCACAGGATACAAAGTTAAGCTACAAAAATCAGTTTTGTTTTTATATATGAAAAAAATTGGAAAATTAAAGTTAAGTCAATTAAGAAAAGTTAAAGTAAATTAAATCAGTTTACAGTAGGGTCAGAAAACAAAATCCTGAGGAATAAATTTGAAAAAATGTGCAAAACCTCTATGATAAAAGCCATGGAACATTGCCAAGATGATCCGATGAATAGAAAGATACCATTTTGGGGATGGGAATTCTGTTATAAAAATGTCAATTGTATAGATGCAACACAATTCCAGGCATAATCCTAGGAACCTTTTTTTTTTTTTATTTTGTAGATACTGACAAACTGATTCTAAAATTTATATGGAAGATCTGTGGACTTAGCATGTCTAAAATAATCTCAAAAAAGGAAGAGCATGTTATAGAACTTAGACTACATGACTTCAAGATACTTTAAGATATATTATAAAATTAAATTAATCAAGACATTGTGGTATTGGCTAAGGATCAGCAAATAGAACAGAGACCCTAGATGTAGACCTCACATGTACTTAGAAGTGTCATTTATTTACTGACAAAGGTGTCAAAGTCTTCCAATGGAGAAAGGAAAGTATTTCAACAAATGATACTGGAATAATTGGGGAAAAAAAATCTTGACCTCATACCACAATTAATTTGAGATAGATTTTAGTCCTAAATATAAAAACTAAACATTAAAAAATCTTAAAAGTCAAATGTAAAAAGTAAAATAAAAATTTAAAAACTAGGTATACATTTTATATGTAAAAAATATAAAAGCAAAATGTAAATGGGCTTCCCAGGGTGGTGCTAGTGGCAAAGAACCTGTCTGCCAGTGCAGAAGACTTAAGACACAGGTTCGATCCCTGGCTTGGGACAATCCCCTGGAGGAAGGCATGGCAACCCACTCCAGTATTCTTGCCTGGAGAATCCCATGGTCAGAGGAGCCTGGCGGGCTACAGTCCATAGGATTGCAGAGTCGACATGACTGAAGCGACTTAGCATGCATGCAAAGCTTTTAGAGGAAAACACAGGGGAATGACTTGATATTAGGCAAAAGTTTCTTAGGAGAAAGCAGTAACCATAAAAATTAAAAATTGATGTCATAATTTATCCAAATAAAAAACTTTATCTCATCAAAATATACCAATAAAAGAATGAATAAGCAAGTCATAGACTGAGAGAAAATAGTAGTAAAACAAAAGACCAACATCCAGTTGATACACTGCAACTCAACACTATAATGATAGACAGCTCAATTAAAAATGGGTAAAAAGTGCATCCATACCATGGAATAACACTCAGCAACAAAAAGGAATATATTCTTAATACATGTGATAGTCTGGATGAACCTGGAAGAAATTATGTTGAGTGAGAAAAATAATCATAAAAGGTTATACCATATGACTCTAATTAATATTTATGAAATAATAAAATTATAGAGATGGAAATTGGATTAGTGGTTACCCAGGGTTAGGAAGGTAGGGAGGGGGAAAGATGGTTGAAGCTACAAAGGAATAAACATTGTGGTTATGATGCAGTTGAGTCTTGATTGTGGTGAGGGTTAGGCAAGGCTATGTGTTAACATTATGTGTTACTGACTCAGTCATGTCCAACTCTTTGTGACCTCACAGACTGTAGCTCACCAGGCTTCTCTGTCCATGGGATTCTCCAGGCAAGAATAGTGGAGTGGATTGCCATTCCCTTCTCCAGGGAATCTTCCTGACCCAGGGACTGAACCCTGGTCTCCTGCATTGCAGGCAGATTCTTTACTATTTGAGCTATGGGGAAGTCCTCAGGCAAGGCTATTTTGGTAAAATTGCATAGACCTGTCTATAAACACATACATGAGGGCATGTATAACTGATGAAATCTACATCAACCCTATGGATTATTCCAAGGTAATTTCTTGGTTTGAATATTGTACTATAGTTTGTAAGATGTTCACCTTGAGAGGGAAGGTGAAGGGTTTGTGAGACTTCCCTGTACTTTTCTTTGCAGCATCCTGTGAATCTGCAGTTATTTTAAAACAAAAAGTAAATTAAAATGTCCTGTTGGTGATAGGTAAAAGATTTGAGCCAAGAGAGGAGCTATCGTCTTTCTTGATCAATGACTGTAATTCATCATGATCTAAACCTGTACTAGGCAGCTCAGGCTGCCATAACAAAACACCATAGAATAGGTGACTTAAACAACAGAAATGTATTTTCCCACAATTCTGGTGGCCAGAAGATCAAGGTTAGCATTTTGGAGCCTGATGAGGGCTCTCTTCCTGGCTTGCAGATGGAAGATCTCTCTCTTCCTCCTGTAAGGCCACCAGTACTGTCCTGTCCTATTCTGTCCACCAGTCCTGTGAATTAGGATTATGCCCTTATTACTTCATTTAACCTTAATTGCCTCCTAAAAGCACTGTCTCCAAATATAGGCACATTGGGTATTTAGGGCTTAAGTGTATTTTGGAGGGACAAAATTCAGCCCATAGCAATGTCTCTATAGGGTCCAGTTTCTTTGCAGTCTAGCTAGTATACATACACTTGCTTACCTAAAAATATGTTCATTTATTCAGCAATACTTGTGGTAGTTCCCAGCAGTCTTCTTGTGTACATTTTAATAAGAGTAAGGACATTAAGTTAACAAGTAAATGAATAGTTTTATGTAGTGGCAAGTGTTATTAAGAAAAGTGAGGTGAACAGGAGATAGAAATTGGGAGGTGTAGACAGATTTTTGGGTGTTTGGGGCTTTTTGAAGAGATGATTTTTGAGTGGAGACATGAAAAAGAGCTCAGACCATTTGAATATCTAAAGCAAGAGCAGTCCTGATGAAACAGTAAATGCAGAGACCTTGGGTTAGAGGGCAAAGACTTTGATGTTTGAGGAACAGCAAGAAGGCCAGCATGCAAATTTTTATTATCATCCTTACCTTTTTTCTCGATGATCTTACTTGCAAAGCAGAAATAGAAACACAGTAGTGTAGAGAACAAACGTATGGCTACCAAGGGGGAAGTTCAGGTAGAATGAATTGGGAGATTGGGACTGACACATTGACACTATCGATACTGTAATAAAATAGACAGATGATGATAACCTACTGTGTAGCACAGGGAACTCTACTCAGTGCTCTGTGATAACCTAAATGGGAAGGAAATCCAAAAAAGACAGGACATATGTAAGCATATAGCTGATTCACGTTGGTGTACAGCAGAAACTAATACAACATTATAAAGCAACTATACTCCAATAAAAATTTTAAAAAGAAGACGAGGAGGAAGGCCAGGATGATTATTCAAAAGGTAAGTGAGAAGTAGAGTAACAAGATCAAGTCAGAAGGTTAGGCAAGGGCTAGGTCATGTAAAATTTGTGTACCATAGGGGAAGTCATTGTGATAGAAAGCCTTTGGAGATTTCTGAGCAGGGGAATGTCATGAGCTGATTTGTCTTAAAAGTATCACTCTATAGAGAATAGGTCAAATGGGGCAAGACGAATAGTAGGAAGACCAATTAGGAGGCTATTTTCATTTGTCACAGTGGAATATGGTAGTGGCTTTGATTTGAATGTTACTGGTGGGAGATAGACAGATGATAGATTCATGGTGGGTTTGCCCAGAATATACTGCTGGGCTGCTCCTTGGTCTGAATCCTCCACACTTGAGGCTGCTCCACAAGTGGATGTTTTCTTTACCCAGATTGAACTCCTCATACAGCCTCCTTCTCCCTATGTGGATAAGGAGCATCTTTGTCTTTGAGTTGGTGCATTTTATCCATCTGCAGTTAAGTAATTTTCTTATATGTGCTGTGCTTAGTTGCTCAGTCATGTCCGATTCTTTGCAACCCCATGCACTGTTGCCGGGCAGGAAACCCCATGGACTGTTGGCCCGCAGGCTCCTCTGTCCATGGGGATTCTCCAGGCAAGAATACTGGAGTGGGTTACCATGCCCTCATGCAGGGGATCTTCCCAACCCAGGACTTGAACCCAGGTCTTCCTGCACCGCAAGTGAATTCTTTACTGTTTGTCACCAGGGAAATATAAACCTTATATATTTAGGTTTAAATCCACTGTCTTTTTTCTCTTTGTTCAGCATTCTCTTTTTTCCCCTCTCATGCCTATTTTGGATTAATCAAAATGTTTTATTTTAGCTTTTGCCTCTTGAGTGTGTTAGTTACACACACTTCAGTTTTTAATAGTTGCTTTAGAGGTTAGCACATGCATTCTTCACTTACTGCATTGTACCTTAAATTAGTTCCTTTATATCTTTCTCAATATTTTAGAGACATTCATAACATTTAAAGTCTTTTTATGTACCCTCTGCTTTTTTTTACTATTGTTTATCTTGACTCTATATACATTTAGATCCCCATAGAGTATTAATTTATATACTGTTATTAATACTGGTTTGCATTTACCTACACAGGTACCTTTTACAGTGCTCCTTTTTCTTTTCTGCACTGTAGTGCTTCTGCTTAGAATCATTTTCTCTGTCCTGAAGAACTTCCTTTAGTATTTCTTTTACTGTGCCTGTTGGCAATGAAATCTCTTAGGTTTTATTTGAAACTATCTTTATTTTGTCTTCATTTTTAAAGGGTACAGAATTTTTTCTTCATTCTCTGGAGTACAGAACTCTGGATTGGAAGTTAATTTAGCAGCTGTCTTCTTGTTTTTCTGGCTTCTATCATTTTCATTGAGTAGCAGTTTGTCAGTCATGTTGTAATTCTCTCTTTTTTTTGTAATTCTCTTGGAGGTATTAAAACAATACCTCCTGGAGATATTCTAGAGATATTTTTCCTGTTTTCCCCATAAACTCTTAATATTTGGTGTGTAATTTTACAGAAAATAGGTTTTTTAGGTACACATATGTGTTATTATATTAGCAGGAATACAATGTCTTCTAAAGATGTCTAATCCATTCACTGGTAATAATGTTGAAAACTCAGCCTCTGCGTGCTGGTGGTGAATCAAACCTCAGAGACAGAGTTTTGGGTGAAGTAGAAAAGAATAGCTTTATTTCTTTGCCAGGCAAAGGGGGACACGGTGGGCTTGTGCTTTAAAAATTGTGTGTCCCAACCTGGGAGGAGTTGGTGAAAAGTTTTATAGCAATAGTTCAAGATCAGGGTTGCTGATAAGGATCAGGGTGTGTGCAGGGCCTGTATTGCTTTCATTTAATCTGGCCTGATGAGCTTCACTGGTTCCTTTAATCTGGCCTCAGGTGGTATCTTGATGAGCTTCTCAAGGTTATCAAATTGTCACCTTCTCTCTGGAACATCTTCCAATTGCTGGGGTTTTAGTTCTGCAGAAGAGCTCAAAGATACTGTTATGTGTATCCCTTGTGGTGGAACCAGGACTCTGACCCAAGTTTGCAGTATTGTTTCCTGACTGCCCCTTGTTTCTGCATCCTCTCCCTTCCCTGATTTGTACCTGTTCAGATTTTCCCTTTGGAATCTAGGGAAGATCCATAGAGGCTGGAGTCTATTCTCTGCAAAGAAACAGGGGACACAGAAAGGCTACCATGCCCAGGAGCCCCAAAGGGTCCTACTTGGTTTCAGTAATAGGCATTGTTTTAGGTGCTTTTTATTTCTGTTAGTTTTCTTTCTTCTGGAACAGGAAAACATTGTGTGTTTGCTTTCTTGTTTTCTTTCAGACTTGGAGTCCAGATACAGTGCCAATATTTTATCTCCAGAAAAGGACATTTATGAAATATATTCATTCCAGTGGGAGATAATGGAAAGAATTAAAAGCTATAGCCTTCAGGACTCCATTTTCAGAAGTGATTGGGAATGCAAAAGCAAAATTGAGGGGCAAAAGGAAGCACAAGAGGGATATTTTGGGCAAGTGAAAATGGCTTCTGAAAAAATGACCACTTACAAAAAGCATAATCTTCTTGCTGAATATCAGAGAGTTCATAATGGAGAAAAGTTATATGAATGTAAGGTATGTAGGAAGACCTTTATTCGTCGTTCAACACTTAGTCAACACCTGAGAATTCACACTGGTGAGAAACCTTACAAATGTAAGGAATGTGGGCAGGCCTTTAGACAGCGTGCACACCTTATCAGACATCACAAACTTCATACTGGTGAGAAACCCTATGAATGCAAAGAATGTGGGAAGGCCTTTACAGTCCTCCAAGAACTGACTCAGCATCAGAGACTTCATACTGGTGAAAAGCCCTATGAATGTAAGGAATGTGGAAAGGCCTTTAGAGTACATCAGCAACTCGCTCGACATCAGAGAATTCACACTGGTGAGAAGCCCTATGAATGTAAGGCATGTGGGAAGACCTTTAGGCAATGTACACACCTTACTAGACATCAAAGACTTCATACTTCCGAGAAGCTCTATGAATGTAAGGAATGTGGGAAAGCCTTCGTATGTGGTCCAGACCTTAGAATACATCAGAAAATACATTTTGGGGAGAAACCCTATGAATGTAAGGAATGTGGAAAGGCTTTTAGGATATGCCAACAGCTTACTGTCCATCAGAGTATTCATACTGGTGAGAAACCCTATGAATGTAAGGAATGTGGGAAGACTTTTAGATTAAGGCAGCAACTTGTTCGCCATCAGAGAATTCATACTCGTGAGAAACCCTATGAATGTATGGAGTGTTGGAAGACCTTTAGTAGTTACTCACAACTTATTTCCCATCAGAGCATTCATATTGGTGAGAGACCTTATGAATGTGAAGAATGTGGGAAGGCATTTAGACTACTGTCACAACTTACTCAACATCAGAGTATTCATACTGGTGAGAAACCTTATGAATGTAAGGAATGTAGAAAACCTTTTAGACTGCTCTCACAACTTACTCAACATCAGAGTATTCATACTGGAGAGAAACCTTATGAATGTAAGGAATGTGGTAAAGCTTTTAGACTTTATTCTTTTCTTACTCAACACCAGAGAATTCATACTGGTGAGAAACCCTACAAATGTAAGGAATGTAAGAAGGCCTTTAGACAACATTCACACCTTACTCAACATCAGAAAATTCATAATGTAATTTAATGCAAGGCTTTCAAATGCACGTTATGTTACAGAACATCAGAAAATTCATTTTTGAGAGAATTTGTTTGATGCTCATCATTAAGCATAAAAAATTTATACTACAGAAAAAAATGTTGCTTTAATGGTTGCTTCCACCACCATTCAAGCATTGTCTTCAGCATATTCATATGAGAAAGTAATATAATGAATGCAGGAAAATCTTTAGCCTTATCTATCTTTATTGCCATTTGACCACTGTATTACCAGTGTATTATTGGATAGGTACTTAAATTTCTGTGCCTCATTTTGCTCACTTGTAAAATGGTGATAGTAGTATCTATGAATATTAGCTATTTATTGCTGCATAATAAAATACCACAAACTTAGTAGCTTAAAATAATATACATTTATTATCTCAGTTTCTATGGGTCAGGAGTCTAGGCATAACTTAGTTAGGTCCTCTGCTTCAGGGCCTCTCACACGGCTAAAATCAAGGTTTCAACCATGACTGAGTCTCATCTGAAGGCTCAACTAGGGAAGAGATCCGCTTCTAACCTCACATGGTTGTTGGCCAAATTAATTTCCTGAGGGCTTTTGCCCTAGAATTTTTCAGATTCTAGCTGGCTGTGGCTGAAGGCTGACTTCAGTCAGGTCCTTGCTGTATGAGCCTCTTCAGCATAACTGCTTGCTTCATCAGAGAATGCAATCCAAGAAAGCAAGAGTCTGCTAGCATCAAAGAAGCTATCATCTTGTGTTTCTAATAATTGAAATGAAATTATTTCATTACCTTTGCTACCTTCTATTGCTTGGAAGCAAGAAACTAGGCTGCCCTATACTCAAGGGAACAGGCTTATAGAAGAGTATGAATCCCAGGAGGAAGGGATCACTGGGGCCAATTCAGAGTCAGCCTGCTGTATCATTGTGAGGATTGAGTAGTTAATACTTGGAAAAACAGCAGCCATATAGCATGTTTTCTGTAAATATTATCTGTAGTTGTTATTAACATCATTAGTGTTAGTGAATTCATATGAAAGGAAGATCCTATAGAAGTAATAAATGTAGAAATGCCTTCTGTCACTGCTCAGTACTTACTAAACTTAAGATTATTTTGGATAAAATCTAGGAGGTTATATTGAATGCAGGAAGTTCTTCATCACTTGAGCTGCATCAGAAATTTCATGCTGAAAAAAAACATGATGAATTTCATGCATATGAGGTTAAGAATATAGTGGTTGAAGAAGCAAAGAGAAATATGAAATTGTTTTCCCATAACAAATTACAAGGTAAATGTTTTATAATCTGTATTCTCTGACCACCACTCAAGATTAATTAGAAACTATCCAAAAGATGGCAAAAAAGAAACTAACCACTTGGAAATATAATTGTGTATGTGTGTGCATATGTGTGTGTATATGTTACTCTTGTAGAAAGAAAAAAAAACATTCCATTACAACTAGTAAATTTTTGATGCTCATAGTATCCCATCTTCAACCAGTAGGAGTTGGGTTTTTTGACATGACCCCAGTTGCAGTTTGATAGTTTACTTGGTTATGGCTGCCTAATTTGATCAGTTTGGGAAGATGCTTGGATACCAATTCATTCTGAAAACTAATAAATAAAGGGAAAAGTATTTATTTTGCTTTTTCCATGTGAATCAGGTCTCAGGGTCACCCAAAACTCATCAAACTAAAATTTTTTTTAATTTAATAAATCTTACCAGTAAATACAGAAAAAAAATTGATATTTGGATTAGAAAAATCATTTTCTAGTTCCTAATTTAAAGAATAATGTCCAGAAAGTGATCTTCAAGGGATATTAAAACTATTTGGGGAAAGAGTGTATAGTGAGAACTTTATATTGGATTTATCTAGCTGACCATCTCTAAGCCCTTTGGCTCATTTTAACATCTATAAAAGTGAAACTGTCAGACAGTATGCACCTCCTGGTATAATGCAGTTAGGAAGTACATGTCACTACCTATGAAATTTTCTTGCCAAAATAATGAACAGAAGGAATCAAACTTTCAAATCAAAAATTTTTTTAAACCCAAGAATTTGAGAAATAGATGAACAAAGTAAATGATACCACAGGAAGCAGCCAAGCAGATCCAGAATGTATAAAATTCCCAAAACAATTCCCAAAATTGACCTGATTTCTTCAACTATTGAGTGGCATGAAAAAATAAGGGCACTGTTACCAGATTTTTAAAAAAGACTGGAGGCACATCAGCTAAATTCAATATGTGGGCATTATTTGGACCCAGATTGAATAAAGTGTAAAGAGACATTGTGGAGACTGGGGAAAATGTGGACATGCACTGAGTATTAAGTGATTTTTAGAAATACTAGTTTTGTTGTTTAGTTACTAAGTTGTATCCATGGATTGCAGCCCACCAGGCTCCTCTGTCCATGGGATTTCCCAGGCAAGAATACTGGAGTGAGTTGCCATTTCCTTTTCCAGGGGATTTTCCTGAAGCAGGGGATCTTCCCAACCCAGGGGTCAAACCTGAATCTCTCGGGTCTCCTGCATTGGCAGGTGGATTCTTTACCACTGGCGCCACCCAGGAAGCTCGATAATAATATCAATGTGGTTATTAAAAAAGAAAATATTTTATGATTAGAAATAAACATATAGGAAATGGTAAGATACCCAGATTTGTATTAAAATATTCCAGCAAAAGAAAAATAATTGGCAAAGAGAGCTAGAAAGTATCAATAGGTTGGTAAATGTTAATAATTACTGAAGTAGAATGGTTGTTTATGGGGGGTTCATTGTTCTAATATTTTTACTTTTTTATGTGTTTGGAAGTTTCAATAATAAAATATTTAAAATCAAAACAAATTATACACTGCTTCAGAAATCATTGTTAATAAGATGCCTGCATATATGAACTTGTCAGATGTCACCAAAGTTCTATTCAGCGAGGAACTTATGCCCCTGAATGCATTAAGGAAATCTTGTTTGTAGGCCTAGGCTTCATCTTCACTTTTCCACAGCCATCAAAGCTGGGCCTGTCACATGGATAAATGTGTTAAAGGAATGAATAAACCTTTATGTCAAGAAACCAGAAAAAGAACAAAGTAAAACCAACAGAAGAGAAGCAAAGTAAATTTAAAATTAGAAATTAAGGGGTTAGATACTAGTAGACTTAATCCAATCTTAATACTATATCTTGGCAAGTCTAATCAATGAAAAGAAAATGAAATATGAAACAGCATTAATGATGACAAAAGGGACATTACTACAGATTATCAAGAATTTTTTCTTTTAATTCTAAGGTAACACTATTTGTATGTACAATATGTATTCCAATATATGTCAAAATATAGAGGGATTGCATTTTCATCTCTAAGAATGTTATCACAACTGACTGCTCTAGAACCCAAACAGACCAACAAATAAATGTGTGTGTATGAAGTTCCTGTTGAAGGAAAAAAATCTGATAGTTGCATAGGTGAAAGTCTTAAGAAACAGATAATCCTTAACAGGATTTTAGCAATTTTGCACAGGTAAAATAGTCCTGATATAAAACCAGATATGAATAACCCCTAAAGAGCAAAATCTAGACCAGCTTCATTTATGACAAGTCTATTAATTCTAAATAGTTGTATTTTGAATTTATTACAAAATCAGTCTTCATTAATAGGTTAATGTTTTGCCTTTTCCAAGCACAAAATATCTCCAGAAGGCCTGTGTTTAACCTAGCACAAGACCTTAACCCAACATTCTCCACAAGTTTGTTTTAGGGATACTAATCCATGAGGATATTTAGGGGAAAAAAGGTATTGTGGGGAAAATCGTAAATGAAACAAAGGATAAAATATCTATTTTGGGGGGGGAAATCCAAGTACCTCTTAGCAGCTTGTTAAAAGATGTATTCAAGATGTATTTTCATTTAACACAGTGTATCTCAAATTTACTTCACTGTGCAATTCTCTCACTCCAAATATCCCTTAACACCTTTAGAGTGTGAACCATTTTGGTAGATGTTACCATAACCACAGTGAGTGTCTTGAAGGATGTCATTTCAGACATTATGGTGAGTGAGTGTGTTGGGGAAGGGTGAGGAAGGTCACTTTTCTCCGCAGCTCACATCATACTCTGAAAGCAGCTTCCGGCTTGAACACTGGGCTAGTTCTTTTCTACAGGGTGGAAACGATTTCAGCCTGGTCCTTGGTAGTATATGTATTAAACAAGCTGAAATACTCTATTTAACAGTGATTAGGACATAAATGATTTTTCATTGTAATAAAAATGCTATATTAAATATCATTTTGTGTGTTTTTTTCTTTATAGTTAAGATTTTCTCAAAGGTGCACATCTAGAAGTGCTGTGTAGACTTTGCTTCCCATGTTGCCGGATTGTTGCCCCATCCTTGCACCAATTTTGAATCCCTTCAGTTACTAAAGATGAGTGTCTGTATTTCCTTGATTACAAGCAAATTGAGCACATTTTTTCATATGTGTTTATTGACCAATCATATTTTCCTAAAAGTGCTTTTTTTAATTCATGTGCTTTCTCTGTTTCTTTATGGGTTTTCTCATTGATTTTTTAGGACCCCCCCAAGTAATCCAGGTATTGATAATTCCAGGTATTGTTGTTGTTTAGTTGCTCAGTCATGTCCAACTCTCTTTGCAACACCATGGACTGCAGCATGGTAGCCTTCCCTGTTTTTCAGTATCTCCTGGAGTTTGCTCAAACTCATGTCCATTGAGTCGATGATGCCAGGTATTACACATTTATAAATGTTGGACTTATTTTCTAAAAAGCATGTGTTGTAACTGTGTTACAGTGTTCATTGTTTTGCTAACATTAAGTTTAGATACAGTTTTCATTTGAAAGTGAAAAGTGAAGGTGAAAGTTGCTTCTCCTGTCTGTTTGCAACCCCATGGACTAAACCAACTGAGCTATTAGAGACACCCATAGTTTTCATTTTAAATCATACCAAATAATCATATTCAAAAGACAAGAAGGACCTCTTATGGAGAAGGAAGTAGCAACCCACTCCAGTATTCTTGCCTGGAAAAGTCCATGAACAGAGGAGCCTGGTGGGCTGCAGTCCATAGGGTTACATGACTGAGCATGTGTGCACGAGGGTGGAGGGAGATGGGTTGGTAGCAATAAAGTGGTAAACTTAAAAAAAAAAAAAGACCTCTTATGATTTACTCCTTTTTAAATATGTTTTCTGCCATGCATCTGCAAATAGAAATAACTTCCCCCAATATGTTATTTATTTATATTTCTCAGTAGATAAAATGACATCAAGCTGTACACTTAAGATTTATGCCCTTTATGTAGCATAGAAACAGACAAGCAGCCCCTGATGTGCTGGAGCTGCTCAGGTCCCTTCAGCTACATCTTGGTGTTTTCCTGGTGACTTTCAGTGATCTCACTTCCCTGGTGGCTCAGATGGTAAAGAATCTGCCTACAATGTGGGAGACCTGGGTTCGATCCCTGGGTTGGGAAGACCCCCTGGAGAAGGACATGACAACCCACTTCACTTCAGTATTCTTGCCTGGAGAATCCCGTGGACAGAGGAGCCTAGCAGGCTACAGTCCATAGGGTTGCAAGGAGTCAGACACGACTGAAGCAACTTAGCAACAGCAGATAGGCAACTCTGTGACTCCAATGGATCAGGACAAAAACAAGATCATTCTGTAATAATACTGAAACACAGATAAAAAAGGAACATTTTTCAAACCACAAAATGCCAAACATGCTCCTGGATGATAGGAACGACTGCTATTTCTTTACCCATTGTAATTTTAACCTTGCTTTATTCTGCTCCCCCAGAGATAAGATTTATTAATATATGTAGTCATAAATAAGAAGGTCCTATTGTATAGCACAGGGAACTATATTCAATATCCTGTAGTAAACCACAATGGAAGAGAATATGAAAAAGAATACATATGTGTATGTGTGTGTGTGTGTGTGTATGTATGTATATATATATATATATATCTGACTCACTTTGTTGTGCACCAGAGACTAACAACATTGTGAATCAACTATACTTGAATTCCTTTAAAAAAAAAAAAAAAAGTTAGCCCTAATTCCTGACTATTTCCAATCCAGAACAAAGCCTCACTTCCTTAAACCTTCTTTAAATCAATAAACACAAGAACAAGCCTTCTAGCACCTTCTCGTGGACAACATCCCCATGGTTCCCAATGGTGTGTGTTCTTTGCTGCAACGAAAACAGTAAACCCAACTTGTTCTTTTACAAGAATGTTCCTGGTGGTGTTTGGCTGGAGGACACCTGTACACTTTAAGTGTATGAATCTTAACAATAAAAATATTTTTTTAGGGTTCAGTTTTTCAACGGACTGATCAGAAGCTAAGTTGATTGCAACACTAAGGAAGTTGTGAAGTGAAAGTCACTCAGTTGTATCTGATTCTTTGCGACCCCCATGGACTGTATGTAGCCCACCAGTTTCCTCTGTCCATGGAATTCTCCAGGCCTGAATAGTGGAGTGGGTAGCCATTCTGTTCTCCAGGGGATCTTCCCAACCCAGGGTTAACAACCCAGGTCTTCCGCATTGCAAGAGGATTTTTTACCATCTGAGCCACCAGGGAACATTTATTTATTTAAACAGAGCCTTAAGATCATCTGTAACAGTTTTTTTTTTTTTTTTTTAATCTGTAACAATTTTTTCAATCAATGAAAACAGGATATAGTTAATTCTCAGCTTTGCTGATACATCTGCCATTAACAGGATATTTTGTTGTTGTTCAGTGACTAAGTCCTGTCTGACTCTTTGTAACCCATGGATTGCAGCTTGCCAGGCTTCCCTGTCCTTCAGTATCTTCCAGAGTTTGCTCAAACTCTTGTGCATTGAGTTGGTAATTCTATGTAACCATCTCATCCTCTGCCACCCCCTTCTCCTTTTGCCTTCAATCTTTCCCAGCATCAGGGTATTTTCCAGTGAGTCTGCTCTTCGCAGCAGGTGGTTAGTGTATTGGAGTTTCAGCATCAGTCCTTCCACTGAATATTCAGGGTTGATTTTCTTTAGAATTAGGCTGCACAAATCAGTCCTTTATTCTTTTTCAAAATCCACTATTTTCCTTAATGTAACATTTCCATGTGGCTGCATTTGGAAAGAACTCCTTAAAGAGCCTCTGGTTAATTCACCAGGCTCTAGCATAGTTTGCATAAGAAGTCATAATTTGCATAAGAAAGCAAGATTCCCTGTACTCAGATAAGGGGATAAACTAGCCTGAGTGATTATTTTTTCCATTCATAGAAGGAATTAAAAAATTGAGGGGCTGCTCGGGTGGTCCAGCGGCTAAGACTCCGGGCTCTCAATGCAGGGGACCAAGTTCAATCCCTGGTCGGGGAACTAGATCCCATACGCCGCAACTGTCTCCTACTGGCCCAGGGATTGAACCCTGGCATTGGGAGCATGGAGTCTCGGCCACTGGACCACCAGGGAAGCCCCATTCAGTTCCTTTCTAATCCTTTCCCCCACAGGATGGCAAACCCTAACCACCCAGGACTTACTTGCCAATCCCGGGGCCATTGTATAACATGTTCCCCCAGAGGTAGGTCCAGCGGTAAGGGCAGAAGTGAGTTAGTATCCTGATCAATAGTTTCTACTGGCTTTTGGTAAGCACAGTTGAATTCAGATTGTGTTGACAGGAGAATGCACTGTCTTACTGGAGACTGCATCATCTTATTAACCTTGTGATTGGTTGGTACACGGCCTGTATTGGGCACTGGCAATGGGGCTGAGAGTGGACTGGTGGAATGGTAATGCAAGGCCGGACAAAAACCACAGGCAGGGGTGGTGGTACCTCATAATCTGCTGGATTCTGCTTAATGGTCATAATCTTCCCTGGGTGGTGCCTGTTCAACGCCTTACACTTTATCCCTAGTCTGAGGGGAGGGTGTTTGTGGACTGGGCAGCAATGGTGACCTCACTGTGAAGTAAATATGACTGCTGGATCCACAGCCAGATGCCGTCAGCATCCACCTCTGGACTTCCGTGAAAAATTGACCCTATAAGCATCTGGCTACAAAGTTTGCGTGCCTCATGGACTCTCAAGGCTCTAGCGGCTGTTCTTATCACAGAAAAAAAGTGAAAGTGTTAGTTGCTCAGTCATGTCTGATTCTTTGCGATCCCATGGACTGGCAGGAGCCTGCCAGGCTCTTCTGTCCATGGAACACTCCAGGCAAGAATACTGGAGTGGGTAGCCATTCCTTTCTCCAGGGGATCTTCCCAACCCAGAGATCAAACCCAGGACTCCCACCTTGCAGGCAGATTCTTTACCATCTGAGCTATGAGCAAAATATCAGAATTATTTTTTATTGAGGTATAGTTGATTTATAATGTTTATTACTGCTATACAGCAGATTCATACTTTTTCATATTCTTTTTCATTATGGTTTATCACAGGATATTGAATACCCTGTGCTACACAGTAGGACCTTGTTGTTTACCCATTCTGTATATACCAGTTTGCATCCACTAATCCCAAACTCCCAATCCAACGCACTCTCACCCCTCTCCCCCTGGGCAACCACCAGTCTACAGAGAATCATTTCTTAACATTCATTACAACTTTTATTATAACTCAAAAAATGTCAGAAATTGTAGAGAAAGTATAGATAAAATTTAGTAATCATTTCCCTCTTTTAAAAAATGCTTGAATTTTTGTTGGACATTGTCCTCCTGTGGGTTGACTAGTTTAGCTATAACTGATTTAATTTGTCACATAATATATGTGTGCATTAAAGTATGTATTTCTGAAGCATGGGCAAAGGTGGAATCTGATGGATGGTGATTATTCCAAATGCTATGAATGTCTATACATGCACAATTAATGGACAGTCTCATAGCAATTGAGTATCATATGCTGTTAACAGTTTACTATTTTTGGTGGATAAGTTAGTGTCTAGTTTTCAATGTGCCAATTCCTACAATCTGACAAATCAGGTCATGAACCATTTTATTTCAGATTAAAAAAAAAAAAACCAACCCTGTTTTAATGGGCTGCTAGATTTGACTTGCTTTTTTAATTGGAACATTCATATACCATGAGTACACTGGATTATTTTTGTAGCTGACTGGACCTGGATGCTGTCCTTTTCCAAATTTGGTACAGGGGTTATGCTAGCCTCATAGCTGATACTCTTTATAAAATCTTGAAGAGTTAGATTTTATCTGTAAGTTAATCTAGTACTAGAGGAATAACATGCCGTAGCACTTTCATCAGTTTTTTTCTTAGGTCTTACTATATTCAGGAAAATACTACTTTTCCTGGATTTCAGACATACTATAAAAAAAACCCTGAATATATGAATATACTGTAACATGCTGAATATAAACAAACATTTCCTACATCTTATCAAAGTTGTATACATATACACATATATGTTTAAGGAAATACTTAGGAAAATGCTTTTTCCATAATTTCACATATAAAAAACTAAATGTAAACATTTCCTGAATGTTTCTCTGAAGCATTCTGAATATTTGAATATCTGAAACAGGTCTGAAATCAGTCCTGAATACTCCTTGGAAGGACTGATTCTGAAGCTCCAATACTTTGGCCACCTGATGCAGAGAACTGACTCATTGGAAAAGACCCTGATGCTGGGAAAGACTGAAGGCAGAAGGGGATGACAGAGGATGAGATGACAGAGGTTGGATGGCATCACAAACTGGATGGATGAGTTTGAGCAAGCTGTGGGAGTTGGTGATGGGCAGGGAAGCCTGGTGTGCTGCAGTCCATGGGGTCGCAGAGTTGGACATGACTGAGTGAGCGACTGAACTGAAACATTTTCTTTTACTAATTAAAGTTGAATAAACATGTGTATGTATATATACTATATGTGAAAACACTTTCCCCAGTACTCAGATATATAAAGTTGAATATAAATGTTTAACAGAGAGGCATGGAATTTATTTCACATACAACCAAGCATAGAGCAGTTCTGAATCGTTTCATCAGCTCTACAGTGTCAAACACACAAGCAATTCTATCGCCTGTGCCAATCTCAGCTTCTCACATTCTCTAGTTGTAAACCGGGCACAATCCCAGATATCACAGAGATGTGTCCTGTATAACGGAAGGCCATTTCCGCCTATTTTGTTAAGTAAAGAATATTTAACTGAAGCTCACTTGCAGTCTTTTGCTTAGACCTTCGGTGTCAGCACTACTACACTTATGTGTACTGTACTAAGTCACTTCAGTCCTGTCTGACTCTGTGACCCCATGGACTGTAGCCTGCCAGGCTCTTCTGTCCATGGGATTCTCCAGGCAAGAATACTGGAATGGGTTGCCATGCCCTACCCCAGGGGGTCTTCAGGCGGGTTCTTTACCACTAGCACCACCTGGGAAGCCCATTACACATATGCTCAACTGCAAAACAATTAGGAGGGCAAGCATCTGGCATTTAGATTTAAGTGGGCAGCAGGCATCTAGAAAAGGGAGACTGGTTAATACCAGTGGATAGGCAACCAACAATGTCTGCCAAAATACTGCCTTATTTCTTGATCTCTTTAATTGCTTTTTTGATGTGAACCATTTTAAGTCTATTAAATTTGTTACAATACTGCTTCTGTTTTGTGTTTTGGTTTTTTGGCCATGAGGCATGTGGGATCTTAGCTCACCGACCAGGGATTGAACTGGCACCCTCTGTGTTGGAAGGCTAAGTCTCAACCACTGGACCACCAGGTGAAGTCCCTTTGATCTCCTTCATTTCTGCAGTTACATATACTTTCTCACTTACGATGCTTGAATTTTTTCTGTCCAGGGTACAATCTCTTTCACTTCAAAAAGTTTTCAAGGTGTCTTTTGGGTTTTGCACTTATTTTGCTAGAGCACCTCAACAGACTACAGCTGGATGCTTGTTTCACTCGCTCATTCCTCTGGTCAACAAACACTTATTGAGAACTTCTTAGGAATTGGCAGTGGACTAAGTATTTATAATAAGTGAGAATGAATCCTAGCTTTTAATTGTCCCCATATTCTATACATACATTGAAAGAAGTTAAATTCTCTGAGCTTTGGTTGCATCCTACAAATTTTAACATGAAGTTGTCTCTTTGTCATTCATTTGCCAAATGATAATTTGACTTCCTTTTTAATGTAAAACTTATACAGGTATCTTAAATTTCCTTGTAGAGAAATGGATTTTGTCTGAGGCTTTATTTTCTAATCCACTAGAAGAGAGGTCAGAGATTATAGCATATGTCTCCTGTTTTTTGGAAGGTCTTAAAGAATCATCTAAATCTTTCCTGACATTACAGTAGCCCACTTTTATTATATTGGAGTTCCTTACACTATGAATCCCCTGGTGGGGAAAAAGGCAATCTATGAAAGGCTTCAGTTTTAAAATTTTTCTCCAGAAGGAACTAACATTCTAGAAAGAAAGATGATGTAAGATGTTCATATAGTCACTGTACACTGTAAGGCCTTCCTCTTACAGGATTTCTAATACAAAACTAGGAAAACAAAAAAGTTAAGAATATAATGCAGCTCTCATTTAGCACACTTCCAATATGAGTCAGATAAGGGATACAGTGTACACAATACTAAGAAATATGATGCTAATATTACTAATTGGTTAAGTAATTAGCCGTATAAGAAGTGAGCAATAATGGTGAAGTAAACACTAAATGTTAAATCCTCTCCCACTCTGATTCGGTTCAGGTTAATTTTAGCAGATAGATGTTTCATCTGCATATTTGTATTGTGACACTTGATTTCCCATAAAGGCTAATGACCCTTCATGTTCAGAAAAGTTAGAATGATTTCTGTCTCTAACATTTTCACTACCTTTCTAAGATCGCCCACTTGGCTTATCTTCATGGAGTTTTTTACTTTTTCACCAACTGAACTCTCATGTCTAATAAATTTTGAAATACAGATACACCCCTCCCAATTCCTAACAGTTATAAGATTTCTCATCAGTAATACATGTTAAATTCTGGCCCTTAATTAAAGGCCTCGTAGCCACAGTATGAAGTGTGATATTAACCTGTTGTCCTTAAATGCTTTCCCACATTCCTGACAATTACATAGTCTTTTGTGTTTTACTAGCACAAATTTCCAGATGTCAATTTTTATTTTTTTTAGTTCTACCTGTTTATTGCTACCAACCCATCTCCCTCCAACCCCCCCTGCGTGTGTGCTCTGGTCATGTGACACACCACGGACGGCAGCCCACCAGGCTCTTCTGTCCATGGAATTTTCCAGGCAAGAATACTGGAGTGGGTTACCATTTCCTTTTCCCAGATGTCAAATTTTGAGGTTTCCCACATCTTCACTCACTCCTCTGTCCTGCATGAATTCTTTGATGTTGACTAAGGTGTGAGCCACGAATAAAGGCCTTCCCACATTGCTCACATTCATAGGGTTTCTCACCAGTATGAATTTTCTGGTGTCGACTAAGCTCTGAGCCATGGCCAAAGGCCTTCCCACATTCCTTACACTCATAGGGTTTTTCACCACTATGATTTCTCTCGTGATGAGTAAGTTCTGATCGTCGAATAAAAGCCTTCCCACATTCCTTACATTTATGGGGTCTCTCACCAGTGTGAATTTTTTGACGCCGGATAAGTTCTGTGCTACAAGTAAAGGCCATTTTACATTCCTTGCATTTATAAGGTTTCTCACCCGTGTGAGCTCTCTGATGTCTGGTTAAGTTCTGAGCCATGGTGAGAGGCTTTCCCACATTGCTTACACTTGTATGGTTTCTCCCCTGTATGAACACTCTGATGTCGGACAAGATGTGAATCAGAGATAAAACCTTTCCCACATTCCCTACATTTATGAGGTTTCTCGCCGGTATGAATTCTTTGATGTAGGTTCAGTTGTGAGGCACAACTCTACACCTTCCCACATTCCTTACATTCACAGCATCTCTCACCAGTATGAATTATCTGATGAAGACTAAGTTGTGTGTCTTAGCGAAAAGCTTTCCCACAGTCCTTACACTTATGGGGTTTCTCACCAGTATGGATTCTCTGATGTTGAAGAAGGTGTGAGGGACGGGTAAAGGCTTTCCCACACTCCTTACATTCATAGTATTTCTCATCGGTATGAATCCTCTGATGTAAATTCAGCTGTGAGGTAGATGGAAAGGCCTTTCCACATTCTGTACACTTAAAGGGTTTTTCACCCATGTGAATCTTTTGGTGTTTACTAAGTTGTGAGGTAGAATGAAAGGCTTTCCCACATTCCTTACATTTATGAGGTTTCTCAGCAGTATTAATGCTCTGAGATTTTGTAATCTGAGAGTCACGAATAAAGTCACCTTCCTTATTTTCATTACTTTTTTGGCTTTCATGAATTCTCTGATGCTTTATCAAGTCTGACCTACTATTAAAGGCTTTCTCACATTCTCCACATTTAGAGCCTTTCTCCTTATTATGATTTCTTTCATGTTGACTCTGGTGTGGTTGCAATCTGGAAGTCTTACATTCCGTGGATTCACAGGATTTTGCTCCAGTAGGAGCTGTCTCAGCTGCTCTAGGATCTGTGTGCTGAACGGAAGTGGATCTTTCTTCAGAGGTTATTATGGCTTGTCTGAAATATTCTTCTGGTAGACTCTCCAAGTGGCATCTGACTTCTCTGGTATTTCTGACTCTAGGACACTCAAGATTAGAGCTTATAAGTCTCTTTGTTATCTCTGGTTGCAATGACTGAATTTCATAACTTTCCTCCTTTAAAGATAAAGTCTTGGCTTCTCTTCTAGATTCCCAGTCTGTAAGATAACAAAGAAAAGAGTATTTTCATGTCATAGGAGAAAGAAAAGTTCCAAGGTAGAAACAACAAACTAAAAATAGTGAATAGTTTAAATTGCTCTTAACACTGTGTTACAATTTGAAAAAAAAAAAAAAAAAAGGATGGGAGGGGAATAAGAATAGAGAAAATGAGGGCAGCTTATGAAGGAAGTGATTTTTAAAATATTTATTTGGCTGTGCCAGGTCTTAGTAGTAGCATGTAAACTCTTTCGTTGCGGCATGTGGGATCTAGTTCCCTGACCAGTGATTGAACCCAAGACCCCTGCACTGGAAGCACCAGAGTCTTAGTCACTACACCACCACGGAAGTCCCAAGGAAGTGATTTTTCACTTCTGGTGAGAATCAGCTGGGGAACTTGTTAAAAATACAATGTCCAGCAGTTAAGACTCAGCACTCCCAACCCAGGGGGTCTGGGTTAGATCCCTCATTGGGGAACTAGATCCCACATGCCACATCCAGCAGTTGGTAACTAAAGACTGAAGATCTTATGTGCCACAACTAAGATCTAGTATAGCCAAATAAATTATAATTATTTTTTTTTCTTCAGCTAAGACAGTTTTTTTTTTATTATAAGTATTTTTTTAAAAATATGTAATGTCCAAGAACCAACCAACTAAATGAGAATCTAAAAGAGTAGGACATTATCTAACAGCAAGTCCTCTCATCTCTAGCCCCAGGTTTTGATTACTTCTACTAGTATCTCTAGTAGTAATCACCTTGTCCAGAGCCATCCCTCACCAAGATTAACAAAACATTATCCTAGCATAATATCTCCCTATTTCCTCCTGATATCTCATCCCCAACACAGTAGCCAGAGTGCTCTTATTAAAATAAGTTCGAGCATGTCATTCTTCTGCTCAAAATCCTCCACTGGATTTTCTTCTCACCCAGAGTAAAAGTCAAAATCCCTCAGTGATCCACATGGCCTTTCCAGAACTTGTCCTACACTACCTCTTTCTGACCTCACTGCCTTATCCCCTCCCATGAGCTGACTCTATTCTAGCTCCCTGACCAACTAGATGTTCACATTTGCCAAGCACACCCTTCGTTCAGAATCTCTGCCTACAAATATCTTCCCTAAGATATCAACATGGCTCTTTTAATTACTTCATTCTTACCTCTATTTAGATGTCAACTTAAGAGATCACTCTTTACAAAACAGGACCTTCATCAATCTACTTACTGTACTTTTTTGCAGTGTACTTATCACATGTCATTTTCTCTTTTCCCCCAACATTATGCTTTAAAGGTTTCATAACACAGAAGAATGAAAAGAACTAGACAGTGGACTCCCATAATCTCATCACCTAGATTCTACAATAAATGTTTGGATCTACTTGCCTTATTATACATCTATCTACCCCTCCAAACATCAAGTCACCTTGCAGACATCAGTATACTTCACCTGTAAACCAACAGATTATATTTTAACTTGTTTACTTCTGTACTGTCTGTCCACCCTTCACTGTACCTGCACAAAGTAAATAATAGTTGTCTGCTGAATGTATGGCCATTGGTATGTTTTTCTATCTCCCTCACTGATTTCTGAGGCAACTCAAAATGTGGGACTCGCTGTTTAAATGCAGTGCCTTCCCCCTGCACCTAAAATACAAAATTCACTATCAGACCTGCAAAATTCTGCAGCATCTGGTCCCTGCTTCCCTCTTCAACTTAATTTTGAGGTACTGTCACCTTCACTCGCCATGAGTTCACTATACTGGCCGCCATTCAACTTGCATGTCATGCCAACTACATTCTCATCTTTCAGGAAATGTTTTGGCTTCTTTGCATGCTCTCTGTTCCAGGATATCTGCCATGGCCACCTTCTCTCATTCTAAACATCTTAATTTTCTATCCTATATCCTTTTCTTTGCCCTCATAATCTTTTTCTCAATTTTATAATTACGTATTTGTTCATCAGTTTATCTACTGGTATAATTTCTCCCAAGGCTTCCCTGGAGGCTCAGTGGCAAGGAATCCACCTACTGGTCTGGGAAAATCCCACAGGCCAAGGAGTGACTGAGCCCGTGCGCCACAACTTCTGAGCCCACGTGCAGCAACTACTGAAGCCTGAGTGCCCTAGAGCTGGTGTTCCACAGCAAGAGAAGCCACTGCAATGAGAAGCCCACACACCACAAATGGAGCTGCTGATTTCTTTTTCTTTTTTATTTCAGGTCCTGAATATTTATTTTTTAAATTTGTTTTTCCTAGGCTGCATGCATTAATTATTTTATTAATGTATTTTTAGTTGGATGATAATTGCTTTACAACATTGTGTTGTTTTTTGTTGTACAACAACGTGAATCAGTCATAATTACATACATATATTCCCTCTCTCTCTCGCCTCTCTGCTCTCCCCATAGGTGACATAGTTCTCCCCATAGTGACAACCCCACTAGGTTGTCACAGAGCACCAGGCTGAGGTCCCTGTGTTATACACCAGCTTTCCACTAGTTACCCGTTTTACACATGATAATGTATATAGGAGCAGCCAATTTCTAACTTCACAAGGGACAAAGCATTCTTCGGTAAGCACTTAGGAAGAATCGTTAATTCAGCCAAGCACTTAGGAAGGACTCACAAGAAATTGGGATTCCCTTGTGGCTCAGCTGGTAAAGAATCTGCCTGCAATGTGGGAGACCTGGATTCGATGCCTGGGTTGGGAAGATCCCCTGGAGAAGGGAAAGGCTATCCACTCCAGTATTCTGGTCTGGAGAATTCCATGGATGTATAGTCCATGGGGTCACAAAGAGTCAGACATAACTGACTGACTTTCACTACTTCACTTCATAAGAAATTATTATAATAAATATAAAAATTTAAGACCAATTCTGAATTTTGGAGGACAAATCAACTTACCCAGTGAGATCAGGTTGTTATAATTCTCCAAAACCACATATTGGTACAAATTCTTCTGAGCAAGCATTCCCACTTTTTCTGAGAGAAGTAAATGACCATATCTTTGAACTTGAAATCCTGAAACCAAAGACAAAAATACACAGAAATTAATGGGCCAAAATCTTTACAAGAAAATTAAGAAAGCAATTCAATAGGAAATCACTGTTTGGAAAAAAAGGACACGCTGGACCTTTCAGAAATAGACGTTTTTCTGGAACTCTCTTGCTTTTTTGATGATCCAGCGGATGTTGGCAATTTGATCTCTGGTTCCTCTGCCTTTTCTAAAGCCAGCTTGAACATCTGGAAGTTCACGGTTCATGTATTGCTGAAGCCTGGCTTGGAGAATTCTGAGCATTACTTTACTATCATGTGAGATGAATGCCATTGTGCAGTAGTTTGAGCTTTCTTTGGGATTGGAATGAAAACACCTTTTTCAGTCCTGTGGCCACTGCTGAGTTTTCCAAATTTGCTGGCATATTGAGTGCAGCACTTTCACAGCTTCATCTTTCAGTATTTGAAATAGTTCAACTGGAATTCCATCACCTCCACTAGCTTTGTTCATAGTGATGCTTACAAGGCCTACCTGATTTCACATTCCAATGTCTGGCTCTAGATGAGTGATCACACCATCGTGATTATCTGGGTCATGAAGATCTTTTTTGTACAGTTCTTCTGTGTATTCTTGCCACCTCTTC